ATGAGACACCCAACTGGTCAAGCAAAATGAAAATTTTATACATATAATTGTAGAGTTCCGAGTTTTATTGGAAATTTATGGTGATTTATATTCAGAGCCGGTCCTAGCCTTTATTAGGCCTTGGGCAAAATGTAAGAATAATGCCCCTCCTTTTTCGTTCATTACGATGAAATTTATGAGATTTTAACAATTACCATCCCATACATTAGTAACTTTGCATGAATTAATAAAAAAATTGTCCCTCATTTTTGTTTATTTAAATGCAATAAGCTAATAAACTAAATAAATAAATTATAAGGAAATTTATATAAACATAAATCATAAGTAAGTACTTTTTTTTTTTGCCAAAACGATAGAGATGATATTAAACAAACGCACAAATGTGCAAAGATACAACTTGGAGCGCAGCCCAAAGCTGAATAAAGTGGGAGGACAGGTCTGACGACCGCCTAGAAACCCGACACTAGCAAACGCTAGAAACCAAAAAAAGGCACTCGAGACAACTACACAGCAAACACAAAGAAAACTACAACAAAAAGCTCCCCACAGGAGAATAGAGACAGGAGCTGATCCCCACAGGATAATAAATTGCTCCCGCTCAAACTGAGGCCAACGGCCCAGACCGAAAATACAGAACATAAGCACAGAGGCAAAGTGCCCAGACCAAAAATACAGTCCTACCCAACAGACGAAACTAAACAAAACAACACCAAAAGTGAAAACAATAACTAAAGCCCCTCCCCAATCGAGATACCACACCAAGCACAACAATGGTAGAATCACGGCCCAGGAGCCCGACCCAGAAACTGCAAAAGAATGCCTAACTGTACCGGGAGCCATCGGGCCCAATCCTCGTCCAGACGAACAACTCCACTGACACCCGGAGACCAAAATGCCAGACCAAAACAGTTAACAACAATTGTCCGAGCCTCGAGCAAATAGCCCAGCCCAACAAACGCCGGCGAACGCTCCGAACCAGAGCCGGCGACAGCCCAACAAACGTCGACCATGAAACCGACGCCCAGAACCGGAGCCGACCAACGCCGCGAACCAGAGCCGAATATCGCCCCGAACCAGAGCCGGCGACCGCGACTTCAACACCCAGATTAAGGCCAAGAAGAACAAAATGGTCGCACAAAGTCTCCACCCCAAACCCTAGATCAGGAAATTGGGGTCGCAGCCCTCTCCCTGAGAGCGCCAGAGGGCCGCCGCAACGGAGATACCGGAGGAGAAACAGCCGCCGCCACTCACTCCCAGCTCCGAGGCTGAAACCGGAAAACGACGCTAGCATCTCCCCGGCGAAAAAGCTCCCCTCAGAGCATCGCATCTCACAGGAGAGGGCCGCGAAGGCCAGTTGAGCCACCACCTAGTACTTGCCGGGCCCTACCGGGGAAGGTGACGAAAAATTGTATAGGCGGGCGACGGAATTTAGGGGAGGCGACGGGATTTGGGGAAGGCGACGGGGGAGAAAACACTTAAAATTTTAATCATAAGTAAGTACGAACACCGTTATTTATAAATCATATAATTATGTGTAAGTTGAATATTATATTTATATAAATCCTTATAATTTTGTGAAGAAAATTAACTCTCCTTTATTTTAATATATTCGATAATAACTTTTATTATTTTACACTTTGTTGCTTAATTAAATGATTTTTTATTCAATAAGATGTAAATTTTTTAAAATAAATAGTGATTATAATTTATAATACATAAACTACAAAGATACATAAAAAAAAAACAACAAAAAGAATCTAATAGGAATAAATGGGTTGGTAGGTTCTGATATAAAATTTAAGAAAGGTTTTGTGCATTTAATTTTTTTTGCAATTAATTGAAAATGGATCTATTGTAATAGCATTTTAATTATTCCATATTTATCCTCTTTTTTTCCCCACCTAATCATGTTGATTGAAACAAGCATCAGTTTTTAAATGTATTTTTCCTTTTACTTTTCCTTTTTTTTTCCTTTTTTCTCTCTCCCTTTCTCTCTCCCATTTTTTCGTCAAACTTCCGTGTATTTCTCTTCTCTTCCTTCTTCCTTCTTCCTTCTCAAAAGTACAGACCACAGATCTATATTTATTTCTCATTTTTCGAATCGATTTCTTATCCATAACACACTTATATAAAATACACATCCTCCAAAATTCCCAATTCCTTATTATTTGCATTATTGATTATTGATTAGGCAAAACAAAGGCTCCTTTGAATGGTGCCCCCTTCAAATTAGGCCCTGTCCTGGGCCCTGGGCCGTCGCCCTGGGCCAGGGCCGGCTCTGTTTATATTCATCTCCATCCATATCTAACATTTGGTACTTTTATGTGTTTTGTTGGAGCCATAGTTTTTAAACCCGACTCTGAAATTGATCCGGGCAGGTTTCTGGGTCATCAGTTCAACCGTCAGGTCAACAGGTCAATTGCTGAACCGAATAATTAATTTTAAAATTTTTAAAATTATATATATAGTATTTCTGACATATAACTATATATAAAAATAACAAAAATAAATATTTTCTAAATAAAATTAATTTGTACATCAAATTGTTAATAATATTGTATCTCACAATAAATATTTACTATATAAATGTATTTACATAGTTTTTATTTTTTAAATAAAAAAAATAAAAAACTAAAAAATATATGGGGATCGGGACAACCGAGTTGACCCGACCGGGTCAAGGTCGGGTTGGCCGGGTTTGACCGAGTTTATTGTTACCCTGTCCGAATAGCCACCCGGACCGGTTCCAGCTACGGATCGACTGGGTCCCGGATCGACCCGCCTGGCCAGTCCGGATTTAAAAATTGTGGTTGGAGCAGTGTAAATTGGACTTTTATCCGTGTACTCTTATAATACACTTGCGTTATATTTGTAAACTCAGGTAAAAGCTAGTTAATAATTAGTAGTGTATGATTGAATTTCGAGCTTATATGTTTATGGTTACACGATGTAAAAAAATAACCTCAATCCGGCCCAATGATGCTTGAATAGTCTTTCGAACCGTCTTGATTACCTGCAAAACAACGTCGAGAGTTTCTCGCATAGAATCTCCGACAATCAAGTCAAAACCCTGAGTTGATATATCTAATCTATATTTTATGTTATTGACATTATCACTTAGGGTTTCATAATTGTACTTACTTGTATATATATATATATGTGTGTGTGTGTGTGTGTGTGTGTGTGTGTGTGTTATTGTTTGAGTATTTAAAGCTTGGTTTTTTGAGTATTAAACACTATATTTCTTTTGAATGATAATCGCGTTTAATTAAACTGTTTATGTTCTGATGTTTTAAATTTGGATAATGTGGTCCATGACGGACGAGACAGAAGATCACGTATTGGTTACTTATAAAACATAAATAATTAGTTCACAATCTCGATGGAAATGACAACACATCGAGAACGGTTGTAGTGTTAATTGTACAGTCTGTCTTAACTGATTGGCTGCACTAGTGCACTGTGTGCATTGAACGATCCCAGAGACGATAAATTTTTTAAAAAAACTAGACCTCAGTTAATAATGCGTACTCTTAACCCGTAAGATATAAACAGACACGTGCATACAATATCTGCTACTCTGATTCACCAAAAAGTGAGATACATTTTGTTGGATCAATAATCTGACGTGTTTTGGGTAGTGATGTTGCATGTATGGTGTGTTGTTCAATTATTCATAGTCACTGTGTGCGATAGTCTGATGAGATTAGCTCAAGAAGGATTATTATGTTAAACCCTGTAGGTAGATTAAGTCTGACATAATAATAAAGCATTGAGTGGTACTAGTCTCGGCATGCGAAGCTAATTAATATATTATAAGTAATTAATCACTTGACGGACATTATATCTTAAACAATGAGAGATAAATCGAGTAATTATTATCGGAGCCTCGAATTGTAATTCGGGAGCCAAATGAGGAGAGCATAAGCTTTAGTGGACTGAAGAATCGTTCAAATGTTAGCATAGTGAGCTTGGCCCACAGTTAAGCCTATATTTGACACTTTCTTAGGGCCCCTATTGTAGCCTATAAATACACATCTCATGGTGGTGAAAAACATACTTGATAGTTTGTGAGTTAGCCACCAAGACAAACAAAGTGTGTAATAAAAGTCCGGAGGTAAACCAAACAACCAAGAGCCTCGCGACCCGCGACTGCCCGATGTCCCGGCGACCCGTGCCCCGTGACTGTCTGACGCCCCGACGACCTGTGACTGTTGTGCTGCCGCAACCCCCACCGCCGTGCCAGTCATCCGACACCCCGATGTGCTCCGACGGGAGACCGGCTCCTTCTGGTGATCCATTTCTGATTCGACGATTGATGAGCGATCAAACGATCTCCATCAACAGAAATCAGAAACTACTCAGAGCCTGCGATTTTTCAAACCGTGAGTATTCGATTTTAACTCTACACTTAGGATTAATCGTTCGTAGACTTTAAGATATGTGATTTGCATAAAATACGATGTTCCTAATAGAACCCTAACTAATGGTATCAGAGCACTTGGTTTAATTCGTGTTTTGTGTAAAAGACGGATCTTTAGGCATAAATTGTTATATGTGCATGAATTAAATGTGTTCAAGGTGCAGCTTATAATTAATGGATTATTATTATTATAACTCAATTTTTCAAGCTTAATTGTTATCCACTATTATGGCCTTCAATGTATGGTTTTAGTATTATGTATGTTTTTAAAGCCTTGAGATTGTCGAGGAATTTGGATTCTGATTGCTTGTAATAATATATTCGCACTTTGGGACACCATGTAGATTTAATATTTTGTTTATACGAGCATATAAACTAATCCATGGGTCTAGAATTTGTGTAATTTAATTTATATAAATATATGTTACTGGCAGATAAGCTCGAACAACCATGAAGACTGGCGGACCTTGATGACCGACGAAGGATCAAACGACCCGCACTACTACAACCGAGCAAGGCCGTGCGAGGGCCGCAGACAGCTCGTCGTCCCGGTGGCTTGGTCGCGCAAGGCCGAGCACTAGACGCGGCAGGTGCACGTGATGATGGGAGACGAGCTGATGGCCTCAAAAATGGGGGTTGCTGCGGGCATGGGCGAGCTCGACGAGCCCAGTATGTGCGCGGGGATGCTCTGAAAGGAATCAAAAGTAAGAAAAAAAAAAGAATAATAAAAAATATTCCTCTTTTTAGATTCTAGTATATCTAATTAACTAATAAATATTTTTTATAATAATTTTGTGAAGGAAAAATATGTAGCTTAAACAATTATAATACATTATTGACTAATTATTAACTAAACATATTGATTTACATAATTGTGTGTGTCACATTTAAAAAATACCTATAATTAAGCAATACTACATAACTAGTTTTTACCCGTGCATTTGCACGGACATCTATGCGATAGAGGAGAAAATAAAATAAATTATAAACAATACTTAGTAAAAATCATAACATAATCACTGGAAAAAAGCTCAAGAAAAAAAACTGAATATTATTAAACACTTTTTTATATACAACATTCGTGGTTTTTTATCATCAGAAGCCCCATCAGCACAAATCAGAATCTTCAAACCCCTCCGACTCGTTACTCTAGAAAGCGCCATGTATAATTGTCCACGACTAAATACAGGGCTCTTCAATAGTAAGACGATGTGCGACAGTGACTGCCCTTGACTCTTATTGATTGCCATAGCATAGGAAACCATGAGAGGGAACTGTCTGCGCTGAAACTTGAACGGTACCCTCAAATCGGATGGTATGATTGTGAGCCTAGGAATAAGAACCTTATCACCAGCTCTGGCACCTGTTAAAATTCTGCATTCTAGGACATGGCTGTTGAGCTTAGTAATAACCAATCGAGTACCTGTCGAACTCAAAATTTGGACAACAAAAACATATCACTCGAATTTTTACAGAAGTCAAAGAAAATATAGACAATATATCGAATTTTAATCAACAGTACCGTTGCACAACCCCATGGAGTGATCAATGGTCTGAGCAGCATCACTGGAGTGCCAACCTTAAAGTGCAATTTATGATTGGAAAGTCCCGAGCACATAATCGCATTGAGAAATTCAGGAGTATGAAGATCGTGAAGATAGTCATATTCAGCAACTGACTTGCAAACGGTGTCCAAACTCAAATAAGTTCTTCCCTCGGAGGAGTTCAATGAGCTCATGTATTCATTGACGGACTTAACAACATCAATGGTGGGAGCGAGTATGGCTCTTTCCTTCATGTAGCTAAGATCGTCACCCGAACTCCTAAACAATGGGTACGTACTCTCAACAATAGAAGCAATAGGATCCCCTAGTGATTTCAGAAGAATATCGTCGGGAATGTTAATTTCAGCACATCCATCGTTCGATCCACTAGCAGTACCGTCGCCAATGCTTGCAAGCCAATATGAGAAAACCCTCAACTCATCATACTCAACACCCCCACCAAGGCTTCGAAGCCTCATATTCTGAGTAAGTCTCAGAATGATACAATACCGCCATAAGCTGGATGAATTGATGGTCGCATTCACTATGTCACTCCGAGTGCCTTTAGGCACAACATGGAGTATCTGTCTGAAATCGCCACCAAATACAATAGACTTGCCGCGAAAAGGGAGATTTTTCCTCGATGGATCCACTACTTGCATTAAGTCTCGTAAGGTGTTGTCAACATCCTGGAAGCAATACTTATTCATCATCGGGGCTTCGTCCCAAATGATCAATCGACATCGTATAATCAGTTCGGTTAATGTCGACTCTTCGGTTGGGTTTAACGGGATTCTGAATAGCGAATGCGCAGTCCGGCCGCCGGGAAGCAAAAGTGACGCGATACCGCTCGATGCAACATTCAACACAATTTTGCCTTTTGACCTCAAACCAGAAGACAACGCCCTCCAGATATACGTTTTACCGGTTCCGCCATAACCATAAACAAAAAAAATGCGGCCGTGGGTACAGTAGACCGAGTCCATAATCGAGCCATAAACATTGCGCTGCTCATCAGTCATGTTGGCAACCAATTCCTCATTCTCAATCGATAGTGCACGGCGATCGTAATTCAACTCGTCCATCACAAGTCTGTTCGTGGACGCCTCATTACGATCGAGAACAAGAAACGGCATTGTACCATAGTCGCGTAAACTTATCCCACGTCGTCGCAAAATCTTTTCGACCTCTGCCAAAGCGAGATTCTTTATTTCCTCATCGGTCATGACCAATTCTGAAACAATTATAGTACAAAAATAATAAGAACAAAGATAAAACATATAAAAAGAAATAAAATAAAAATATAAAAACAATTGAATTTGTTACCTGGGTGGTGTAAAAGCCTCCGACGATTATATAATATGTCATCCAATAGGTAATGTCAACAGGCGTCCCATACAAACTCCGGTCGACCGAGAGTATCGGATGAAAGAAGAGTCGCAAAAAGGTTCCTCAATGAACTTGCGCTCGCCCATTGGCTTGCCTCAATAATGCCTTCTATATACTCCTTGTCGTCCTCCACCAAACCAAGGGCAAAACACGCGTAGCGATACGAATCGTGTTGGACACCATTCAACTTCATATAGTCACGATGGCATGTTGCACCTCGAACAACATTGATAAGGCACCTCAAGTAAAATATATCTCCAACTCCGAGGGGGACGAAGTACAAACGCGCAATCTGAGGAACAACGTATCTGTTATCTAGGGGATTGTCGTTCTTTACTATGGTCCTGCCATTATCACGACGTCTGTATCGTGGATAGCCTTCTTGATCCAGGGTGGTGGTTTTCGAGAACTTCTTTGGAAAATGCTTCGTGCAACAACCATTAACCATACACGGAGATTGTAGGCGTACACTTCCGCAAGGGCCGTGCATCATACGATCTCTAACGGCAGCATAGTAAAATGGATCGGTGGCCTCATCTGGTATTTCGGCAGATATTATTTTATCTATGTCTTCAGTGGGCATGTGGAAGGCCACGTTTCTGGAATTCAATCGTGTATATAGCTGCAAACAGTAATTTTTTTGGTAAAAAACAATACAATGAACACAAAAGATTTTAAATTTAAATAAAATGAATTAAAAAAATATTAATAATATTAAGTACCTGCATTCACATCACCAAACATCTTGTTATGCCGAACATCCCTCATCAAAGTGTCCAACTTAGCCTTAAATACCCGGAAAATTATATCAGGACGATCCTCGGGTTTGAGATTCTTGTTAGCAAGAAAACGACTGATTTTGGCCACTTAGAGTTGCAAGTGAAGGTTATGAATATATCAGGATAACCGGTCCACCGGCATATGGCCATCGCGTCCTGATAGTTCTCAATCATATATCTCGCGCCACCCGTAAATGATGAAGGCAATATAATCCGTTTGCCTTAAGAACCAGTATCGGTGTCTCCTCGTAACACAGCATCCGAAAGACAGCTGTACACTTCGGTTCTAAGTTTTCTCTGGTTAAATCGGATATATCTTAGTCGAGCTCCTTCGACCATTGTAAAAGCCTCCACAACGAACTGTTGATACAACCTCCGAGCTGAGAGGATAGAAGACAATTCGCAGTCACGATCGTGCATTCGATATTTGAAGAACTCCAACGGACTGATAAATTTCCTCGACCTCTCCGTAATCGGTTTTAGGGGAGAAAATGGAGTGTCCTCCCAATAACCATCCTCGCCATATGGAAAACGAATAGGATAATGGAGAGCCAAGTAGGAAGCGTTCAACTCGTTGATACGCTGCAAACGTCTGCTCCGATTTTGTACTATAGTATCCTGGCTGCCCATAGCAAGATCGAAATCACCAACAACTAATGCTGCAACTTCATAAGTGGACGGTAAATTATAACGCCGACCATCTTTATTCTTTTTTCCAATAAGTCGCATCTTAACTTCGCAATGCTCGAGTTGGTTCAACTTCTCCCTCGCCATTTTAAACGATTTAACCAACACATTGTATGGGTCGAGCATCTCTTTCAAACCACGCACTACTTCCCCATCAAGATTATTTCTTTCAGCACCACTCCTGACAAAAGGAACATAGCAAACTGAATTAGTAAATAAAATGTAAAAAACAATGATTACGATGTAAGTAAGAAATTTTAATGATAAAATATAATATATACCTCACAGAAGACAGCATGTTCGATATTTCATTCTCTGTGTCATAGATGTACAATTGAGCAAATTTGGGAGGAGCACCATGGTCGGGTAGCAAACTACCCGTTAAATGGTAGTTTTGACCGTGCAAACGGAAGACGGGCGGACCGCTGCCGTTGTTGATGCCGGTATCAATCTTCCCTCCCATGGATGTAAAACAAAACATGTTGTTGTAGGACCGAATGTTTTCTTCAAAGTGCTTACTCCAGGGACTTGTGCCGAAAATTAGTTCATGCAGGAAAGGGGGAGGAGTGTAAACAGGTGGAAGTTCGTTGAATCCGTTGTTGCAACAACCAGAATACTTTGGAACCCTGGGTTAGATGGCTTTCCCAGTCGCTCGGCATACCAAAATCTGGCACCACAAAGAAGGCAACGGTACGATGCGTCACCAATATCCCAGTATTCTGCAAAATTATATTAATTAAATATTTAATAATTTCCTTACAAAATAAATATTCGTATATCCTACAAATTATTGATGATACACTATTACAAAAATAGGGAAAAAAATAATTAAGACATAAGTAAATAATTACCGGGGTTGATGGATGAGTGCGTAGAATCGACAGATGTAGATGAGCCTCGGGTATTATTGGGCCTTCGAGAAAGATTTTGACTACGGACAAAAGCAGACAAAACATCCTCATTTGTGGGGGGAGGGACTGAGCACCTCGGACGTCCGCCTACATTCGTCCGAGGTGGCAAGTTTAATGATGAAACTACGAAACAGTGGATTATTATTATAAACAAAGAAAAGAAATATATAAATATAAATGATAAATATTTTTTTTATTTAATGAATAAATTATATAAAACTATAATCAATTTGAATTACCATTTGTGGGGGAGGTAAATCTCTCCTCGGACGACCGCCTACGTTGATCCGAGATGCAAATTTGATGATGACACTACGAAAAAAAAGAATTAATATTTTAATAGAAATTAGCTCAAAATTTGAAATATTAAATAAAATATATTACTTTTTTTTACGTCAAAAAATCTAAATTAAAAAAATTGATAATGAAATTAAATTCACTATTTGTGAGGGGAGATAATGCGAGCCTCGGACGACCGCCTACATTCTTTCGAGGTGGCAAGTTTACTGACAAAACTGTAAAATATTAAATTATAATTAAAAATTTTAATAAAAAAAAACATCCTGTCGCAAATGAATAAATATAATATTATATTTTATATAAACAAAAGATTTAAATTAATTGATAATGAATATAAAATTACCATTGCGGACATTATTAACCAACGTTCTCGTTGGCATATTTTCATGATCGTCTATTGTAAGATCAATCAACTGTACTAATCTGCTCGAAGAAGCATTACTGATGTGAGTTATGGAACTATTTTGGGACGAACGTTGAGAATTTGCGACTGGAATACCTAAAAAAAACAAATATATATACAACAATAACAATCTTCTAGTACTGAGATAAACATTTAATAATGATATAAAATGAATACAGCAATAAAGAAAATAAATACCAGGTTATTGAATGGTAGAATACGAATTATAAGTGACAATCAATCTTTGGAACGAAGGTGTTGCCGTAGGCATATCAGATAACGTACCTACAATAATTAAATTGATAGAATTAAATTATACGCTGCAATGTAGTTTTAAATTTTCAGACACAACATATAGATTATTTTTATTATAAGATTTAATATATAAATATTTTTTCAATAAATAAAATTAATTAATCATATTTGCATGAAAGTTGTAATATAAAAATCAACATTATTTGTTTTAATATACTTTAAGTAATGGTGTTAATTGACCATTCAATCAATTTTGGCATACCAATAATTAAGGTGAATTTTGTTTCACAAATAACATAATAGCCCAAATATGAGGTGTGTTGATATCTTACAGACTTATTTAACACGGCGACACGTGCACATAAACAGAACTAATAGCGAGACATGTGTATATGACCGTTTAAAGACTTCATTAAATTGCCGAAACCAAAACATCTGAGAACTTTACGCCATTTAGATCGACTCTTATCGGCGCATCTGCTATCTCTCCATTCTTCTCTCTTCTGAAACACTCTTTTTCGACCTTTCTTATATCATTGTCGACGTGAATCTAGTGGAAAATCTAGGTTTACTGGTGATTCTTTTACGCTTTCCAAACAGATGTCGAAAATATAACTGAGTTATGTTTTTTCGACGACAAAGAGATATCGACCCGTTTTTATAAAATCGAAATACTAAGTGATAGTATTTCGGTTCAAATCGGGCGAGAAATGTTTCGATCTGTCAAGATCTGAAGTTATGTAAAACTTTTTATTTTTTTTGTTGTCATTATAATATTTTGTTTAATTTTTCAAAGTTTTACGAAGTTTTCGAAAATGTTATTAACAGATCTGTGCATATCTGATGTTAAATCAAATTTTTTATTTTTCATTTTTTTTAAAAATAAGTTTTGTATGTTTTTCCATATGTTTAAGACGATATCGACCCGTTTTTAAAAAATCAAAATACTATGTGATAGTATTTCGATTCAAATCGAGCGAGAAATGTTTCGACCTGTCAAGATCTTAAGTTATTTCAAATTTATTATTTTTATTTTGTTGTCATTATAATATTTTGTTTAATTTTCCAAAGTTTTACGAAGTTTTCGAAAATGTTATTAACAGATCTTATCAGATCTGAAGTTCAATCAAATTTTTTTATTTTTTATTTGTTTTAAAAATAAGTTTTATATGTATTTCCATATGTTTAAGACGAATTTGATTATTTTCTCAACAGATCTATGAAGATCTGTAGGTAATTAGTTTTTTTTTTTATTATTTAAACTGGTTGTACAAACAATTTTTGTTTGATTTTTCAAACTTTGTTTACTTTACTGTACTCTGAAGATGGATATTAGATCTGTACGAAATGATCTCACATCTAATGTATGGTAGATGTCATGTAACATATACATATAGTCATTCTTATCCTACTTATTCTGTTTTCTGTACTCTGAACCTCTAAATCTTTAAATCTGCCAACTATTCTATTATTTTTTAGTTTTTGTTTACGGTTATTGATATTAAACATATATCTTCAGTCATGTGGATAAGAAGGCAACTGAAATCACTATGAACACAAAAGATAAGTAACATTCATTGTGAAGTACACAAAATCCCTGTCTTGTATTACAACATTCATCTAATCCATCTTTTCATTACATGTCGATAAAATTATTGGAATTGAGTTGCAGTGGATGAAGAGGACTGTACCACCAACACACAATATGTATGATATTGTGAGTGTATGGATCAGCAAAGGTGTATATATATATATATATTTATTTACGGATATTATCCAAGGCAGCATTACCAAACTTTATAACTATGGTTGCTTTATAAACTTTACAATCTAAATGTTTTGTCTTTTTTCTCAGATTGCCAAAAAAAAGACCGGAGGCTAATGATATCCCAAAAAAAAAGGTAAAAAAATCAGCTTGTATCTGTGTAAGCATTATGGTTTGAAGTGAAAACGATTTACACATTATTTTCTATACAAGAGTAAGCATATGAGGCCAACAGAAGCAACAAAATACACAGATAAGTGGCTTCTTCTATCTGTTACTCAAATTTTGTATTGATTTGCATTATTGTGATCTACCTAACAATTCAAATTTGTTATATGATTAGGAAACAGAAACAAAACAAAAGATGAATGAAGCTGATGGGGAGGATCACATCTCGAACAAAGCACTACACAGGTACACAATCATCTAAACTTTGTGAAGTCATGAAAATTACTGTATTTTTAGCATGTACCATGTGTAGTACTCTTCTGTGTCTGTTGAATGATTGAATGCATCTGTGTTTTGTTGCCAATAATTTCATTGCCTATTGGTTTTCCAAACTTTGAGCATGTATCTTGTGTAGTACTCTTGTGCGTGTGTTCCATGGTTTCGGGCCTCTATCTTTTCGTCCCTATTGTTTGTGAGTCTGTCAACCTCCTCATTTTGATAGGACAGAATTGAAAATAAGATTTTATTTTTTTTATGTTTCTAAGAAACTGTGAATGTGACTGCTTTTTGATGTCTATACAAAATTGAAATGACATAGATTTGCATGTTTATATAGTATTATTCACAGACTATATATGTCAATATATTTAATGCTAATATAAATTTCAAATCTTGATTATGGCAAAACTTATATGCAGTTGGTAACATAATTTATTGTAATAAATTAATTGATTGGTATATTGAATTTGATTGGGAAATTTTGTTGACTCTTTTATTTTGCTTTTAATGAAAGGAATGAATGCACTTATGCTGTTACAAAACTGTAAATAAAATGCCAAATATAAATTATTGGCTGAAAATTTTTTTTAAAAATATATTAATTTCTTAAGTATTTAATTAGGTTGCTGAATATAAATTATTGTCTGAAATAGTTGTTTATAATATTTGATTTTTTAGTTGCTGTAATCTATTCCATATGTTTATTTTTTAATTCAGTTTTCCTAATTAATGTATTTAATTAATATTTCATTTTTTTATTATTGCATAAAATGTGAAGTGAATTTCCAAGTTCCTGGTTGATGCATTGTTTTAAGTTATTAAAGTTCCTGATTGCTAAGTTGCATGAAATGTGGAGTTTTTATGAGTTATTCTGTTTGCTAAGTTGTTCTGAGTGCAATATTTGAATTCATGTTTGCTAATTTCTTATTTGAATTCTTTTGGAAGTTGTTCTGAGTGCAATATTTGAATATATAATAATTTTTAATAGGATGACTCATTCTATTTTAAACATATTGAATAGAAAACACATTAATAAAATTTCTTTGCCTTGTAATGAATCAATATATTTAAAATTAATGTAATTTAATTTGACTGCCCATTTGTTTTTTTTTTTTAATTATGTTTTTCTAATTAATGCATTTAATTAATATTTCATTTTTTTTTATTATTGCATGAAATGTGAAGTGAATTGCCAAGTTCCTGTTTGATGCATTGTTTTAAGTTATTGAAGTTCCTGTTTCCTAAGTTGCATGAAATGTGGAGTTGTTATGAGTTATTCTGTTTGCTGAGTTGTTATGAGTACAATATTTGAATTCCCGTTTACTAATTTCCTATTTGAATTCCTGCTTGGTAAGTTGTTTTGAGTGCAATATTTGAATATATAATAATTTTTAATAGGATGACTCATTCTATTTTAAACATATTGAATAGAAAAAACATTAACAAAAAGTAAACTGAAAATATTATTATTACCAAATATTGGAACTAATTGATAGAAAACATAAATTCATAGTGCAAATTGTCTTAAATAAATCTCTCATTGCAAACATAACTGAAATTATTCATGAAATGTTTGTCTTCAATCAGTCTTCAAAAGTCTTCAAGCTTCATTTTCTTCTTCCCTTTGGTATCTTTGTCACAGCTTGAACCTTCATCAAACAGCTCCTTTATTTCTCTCTTAGCTGAATCCTTAGAGGTAGAGGGATCATCCAAATTTGGCTTCTTTGGGCTATTCAATTCACCTTCCGAGTGGTAATCAGCTTCCTGTGGGATAGATAAATTAATTATATCCTCAAAACATAAAACATATGATATTGATTAATGTTAGAACATAATCTATATAAATTAACATCAACATGTGGAGGATTTGTTAAAAGCACCAAATCTGTGCACTAAAATTGGATCAGTTGTGATTTTGGAGACAATGAAAGCTCCGTTGTACATCCCTAATTGACCCTTCTTCTTTCCAACCTTGAACAAAAGGTCTTTGAACATCAAAGTCTCCAGTTTCGGCGGTAAATCAGACCCGTCTTCATGCTGCCGTTATGAAATAAAAAATAAATATAATATTGCTAATATTTAAAATAAATACTCTTTAACATTAAATAAAAATAAATTTATAGTATATTATTATCCAAACCTTCAACATCTATGTAACAACTTCTTCACATGTTTTTCCAATTAGTTCTCTTGCTACTTTGTCCCAGCAAAGAACTCGAAGTATTCCAGTATCGTCAAAAATTGGTAAGTGCAATTTGTACCTTAAAATGTGTAAATTAATTTAAAAAAAAGGAATAGTATAATAAAAGCATAAAATATTAATTACTTATTATGAATGTATGCATACCGAAGAATTTCAAAAGGTACTTCATCTTCGCAATAGTTGCACAAAAAAATTTCCCTTTTTGGTTCGACCTTTCTAACACATGTCGGGCAAGAGTTGAAAAACCAATTACCATCAACTTCAAGAATTGTGCCATAAATCCAAGACACATTCGCCTGAAAAAAAGTTGAACAAAAAATAAAAACATACGCTTGACATGATGTGTTACATATAATTGATAAAAAATTCAAAGTTTGTAGAGGGTTACCTCTTCTAAAGCATTAAATTCTACAACACTTCTTATTGGAGCCAAACCCGACGGCAAATCATCACATATGCTTGACATGAATGATCTAACATATTCCATTGATGATTCGGTTGGGCGTTTGTGGGAGATGTACCTTAAGTAAACAAAAAAAAAAAGAAAAAAATAAGATAAAATACATAAATTAAACAAATGATTTGTTTGTAAAAAATTATAAAATAATCACCTCTATTTGAATTCTATAATCTTGCGTAGATCACATTTAGCAATCATCTTCGTAGCATCATAGGTGTTTGCAATTCTCACATAGCCTATAAAAATAGTCATTAATATTATTATAATATAAATGTACAGAAACATATTTGAAACATTAATAATTAATAAGATATTTACCATCATTCATTGTTTTTGCTCGGCACATTTGAATGATTAGAACTTTGACATTGGATGTCAAAGGATTCTTGAATGCCTCAAGTAAAACATCAACATAACCATAAGGTGCAAACTAATTGGCAGCCTCTATATAAATCACAATAGAAAAAATAAATAAAATTAGAACAGCATCTACATCTTGAAAATTTATATTAGTATAGGAATAGTTTAGACTTACCCA